CTTTTGTTTTATGGCTAGAGCCTCCTTCTTTTCGGCTTTTTTTAGGTTCTTAATCCTTCTTTGTTCGGCTTCTTAAGCCTTTTCTTCCCTCATGCAAATAATCTCTTGTTGGAGTTGTTCGATGGTTGACATTATTGTTGAACTAGGACGAGTTGACAAAGGGAGATGGTTTGAAACGGTTGGATTATTGGATGGTAAACGTATAATGCGAGTGCCTGGGCGTCTTCGTTCCCAAACTTGGTAACCAGCCCTAAAAGAAGTCGAGAAATTAAGAAAAATCACACGCTTGCTTTTTAAAGAAATAAAAAAGAATAAGAGAAAAAGAAAGAAGAAAGAAAAGACGCAAAAACTACGTTCAAAGGGATACCATCGCCTTTCAACAATTCATAAAGAATGATATTGTTTGGACGAGCCATTAGTTCACGAAGAATTGAAATGGTCTCGTAGCAAAAGGCGCGCGCAAGACTTAGGGTTGCGCGCCACTGGCGCGCGCAACTTCTGACCTTCCACTGGACATGGTCGCGCAACTCATAGAGTTGCACACGCCACCCGATTCTTATGATTTTTTTATTTTTAATTATTTTATTTTACGAACGATGTTTTTTATTTAACTTTTTTTTTTAATATTTCTTTTTTATTTTTTATTTTTTTATTTCATGACATCCCTTGAACATGACTCAAAACTGCAAAGGGACAACTTTGTAGTTAGGAACCTATATAAAAAGAAAACTTTTAAGAAGAGGGATCGCACTAACAAGGTTCTACTTAAAGCACTACGCTAGTACATTCCTTGGCCTACCCAAATTAATTCACCCATGTCAAGAGACATGAATGAGCCAATCTAAATGGGGTCTTCCTAAAAGGGGTTAGACTATCCTATACACGTCTCATATAATCATGTAATCACATAAGCATTCAAAAGGAACCGTTATAGCATATAATGTCATTCTAAGGTCAAGGCTTGGGTGTCCAAAGGTACCATATCTTAAGAAGCAATGCACAAATCAATCACTCAACGTGTTGACCCATGACATGGTTCTCCCAACATTTTGTTGGCGATATGGGTGGGATGATTGTTATTGATTTTGGGATAGAAGCGTAGTGTTGGCGACCCCAAGTCAATGAGTCAATCCCCAATGGTTTGAAGGTACTATGATTATGCATGATGTAATGTTGCTTGTTTGGCTTTTACTTTCACGAAGAAGGAAGATATTATGCATTCAAGTCTCGCTCTCTAACTAGAGATTATTCAAGTTAGCCGCCTTCGTTATAACTCATAGGTAACCTAAGTTGGAAACCTTGAACCATAACTAAAAACTAATCTTGCATTGCAACCTCTAAGTCCCCAGTGGAGTCACCACTGTAAAGAGGGTAGCCCGTCGTTGGGGATCTCACTTTTTTTGTGCCCATGGCCCTTTAAAAGCTTAGGACTTTACACTTTTGAAGGTGTGTTAGGATTTGAATTCCTGACTGTTTGGGGGACCTTGAATGAGAATTGATTCTATCATTACGCTTTTTTGTAAGAAACCAATATAGAGTTGCCAATGAGCTTTAGGAAAACTCATAAACCTCGTTCATGCCTTTCTCCCAAGTAGAGTTCAAGGGATATTTAGCACGAGTCATAAGCTTTCCCATGCCCAAATTGGTCTACTTGTACCAAAAATGAGTTCAGGAGCGAGGGTACAAAAATAATGTTCCCTTTAGGGGGGATCGTTATTCTAGCCCTAGTGCGGCCTCTACTAGCTTTTCCTTTTATCACAATTTCATTGCCAAACAATATATGCAACGTGATACCTAAAACTAAGTTAGTGGATTTTATTTATACACGTTAATCACATAAAGATTACATTACAACGAATGTCGTTATTCTTATTTAGTCCAAATTCGTGAAAGAACAAAAATAAACAAGATTCGACTTGGCTTAAGTAATAAAACAATCAATTAATTAATCCAATTCTAGTCTTATTTAACAAAAGAATACTATGTCAAATTAATTAATTAAATGTATTTTAACGTGATCAAACAACACTAATTAATTAATTCAAGTGATTTAGGACAAGATAAGTAGTGTGATTTATCTAAGCGCTCGGGAATTACCACTTTTCCTTGCTAGATCTTCGTTTAGAATGCAAATGGACACCTTCTTGTTGGGGAACCTCCACCGTAAGAACAAAGTAATTAAAGGGTGAGTGTTTGGGACAAGAGGGTTGATTATTGCATAAATTCACAAAGATGTTACTTCTAACTTCTAGGCTATTTTTCTGTGTCTTTAGAGCTCGTATTGAACCTCTATTTATAGGGAATGAATTAGATTAGAGTTTCGGAGGTTCTGCCGTAACATGTGGCGGCGCAAGTGAAGGATTTGTGCGCTGTCAAGGGCAGCATGGCTTCTAGTCTTGCACGTAGCTATATGGTAAGATTCGGTTCAGTATATTTTTGAAATTATGAATCTTTCGCAAGCACATATCTGAGGGTTGCGCAGGATGAGTTGCGCACGCCAGGCCAGTGCGACTTCATGAATTACACGCGGATTTTTCTGCGGCAGCCCTAGATTTTAACCTAGGCACTCTAAATCTGTCCGAAATTAGGTTTAATATTGAGATTAGGCCTAATTTCTGATCGGGCTTAGTGTTAATGAGCTTATTTCATTTCGTTTGGGTCAAGCTAGCTAGTTTTATGTGTTTAGGCCTTAATCGGTAGTCCATGAGCATTCCTTACTCCAATCCAGCACAAAGATGAAATTATTTATCGTCATAACACTTCTGGTCGGGACAGGGGACCAAATAAAAGTAGATGTCTACCAGTAACTTTGTCGCTCGCTATCTTGCAAAGTTTGTTCCTTTTGGTGTAAAGTTTTGGGCAATCATAGCCATGTGAGAAATTTCCGTATGTGCTTATGGACAAAAGTTTGATTAATTAATATAAGAGCCTTTGTGGCGTCAAAATAAATAAATAAATAAATTAGTACTTTTTTTAACCTAAATAAATTGGTACTTTGATATTTCTTGGGTTTTTTTTTTTTTTATTTATTTTATGTGTGATTTGTTTATGCATGTTTGTGAATGCACATCTTTGACAATTAATATCAATAATTATGTTTGTCAATGCAACTTCTTTGTACATATGTTTTACAATAATATAAGTGTACATCGAACAACATTAGGGCACTTTTAGTCAATTAGGGGAATTTTTAGCCTTTTTTAGGTAACTTTAAACTTGATACAATTTTCTATTAAAAAAAAATTTGATACGGTCTTAATGTAAATAGGCAAAGGTAATATAATTACTTTCAATTATTGAGATTGATTTTTACACTACAAGAAAAACTATTTATAGCAACGAAGTTTTAGCAAAGACCTTATTTATTTATTTATCGACATAAGCTTAAGCTTAAGGAAATTTTGATGGTTAAAAAAAAAAAAAAAAAAAAAAAAAAAAAAAAACTCGATCGGCTATAATCACCTACTCTTTTATAAGTTTTATTTTACCACCACAAAAAAAAAATTCCAAAAATAAAATTTCACCACAACTTAACGGATTCCATCCAAGAATCCTATAGTGGGGCCCACCACATTCACGTGTTACTAATCCATTGGATAAAAAAATAAAAAAAAAAACCCTGAACCCTAACTCAACCGCCACCCCACCACCGATAGCCCTATCCCTAACTGCCAAGCACCCTCCTGCTCCATCCCACCCGCCGCCGAAACCCCTTCCTTGAATGTCGAAACCACCCAAGCCACCCTTCCCTTTTCCCACCCAAAACCTGGTCCTTTCCCCTTTTCCCCCTCTTCGAAAACCACCCTAGCCACCACCCCACCACACAAACACTTATTGTAAGACGGTTAATTTCAGGATTACTACAACAAATTAAAATTAACCCTAAAATTGACTGTATTGTAATAAAATTAAGGAAAAATTCATGGCAATAATCCGACCTTTAGCCCATTCTTTTTTAATAATCCGACCTTTCGATTATTATTTAATAATCCGACCTTTAGGGGTCTTAATTTTTATTGGTCCCAACTGGTCATGTAACCTGATATAACAGGTTACATGACACGTGGCGGCCTGCGATTGGTAAAAAAAAATTAAAAAAAAAAATCAAAAAACAAAAACAAAAAAAATAACAAAAAAAAAAAAAAATTAGCCAGCCACCAGGGAGCCCCCTGCTCCGGCAGACGCGCCGGCGGCTTACCCCCCTTCCTTCTCCTTCCTCCCCTTCCCTCTACCCCTGCTATTGCCCTGCCATCCCCAGCAACACCGAACCACCCCCGCCCCGCATCTCCCTCACTCGCTCCCTCACTGCCACCACAGCAGCCCATTTGGGGGAATAGGGTTTATGGAGGCCAGAAAACATGGTAAAGGTGGTTTCGGGGCTGCGGTGGTCGGAAGGGGTTGCAGTGAGGCAAGGTGGAGGTTGGTTGCGGTTTTCGCGGGTTAGGGTTTGTTTGGATGGGTGGGGCGACGGTTAAGGGGAGGTTGGAGTAATAAGGGGTGGTTCGGCCGGCGGTGGGTGAGCGCGACGCCGACCGACCGATTTCTGGGCTGGGGAGAGGGGAGCTGCGTGAAGGGGAGGGGGAGAGGGAATGGTGGCAGGGGTGGTGGGGAAGGTGGTGGCAGGGGTGGTTCTGTTTTTTTTTTTATTTTTTATTTTTTTTATTTCTTTTTTTTTTTGTAAAAATTATCAAAGTTTAAAAATTAAAAAAAAAAATTGTTTTTCTTTTTTTAATTTAAAAAAGACAAATTGCATAGTGACACGTGTAGACAAATTGCATAGTGACACGTGTATTTAAAACCAAAAAAAAAAAAATTGACCGGTTTAACCGGTTTCTGGTCAAATGGGACCATTAAAAAAGAATTGAGGGTAAAGGTCGGATTATTAAATAATAATCAAAAGGCCGGATTATTAAAAAAGAATGGGCTAAAGGTCGGATTATTTCCATGAATTTTTCCTAAAATTAACGTACCGCCTTATACCATATTTATCCTAATTTGCAAGCTTTAAATCTCTCCGTATTTTTTTCACCAATAACCAACCATCAATCTTACCCCACCTAAATATCATTTCACCAGTTGCCTAATTTTCCGCCGGTGAAGACTTCCGTCAAAATAGGTTTTTCCGGCGATGAGTGCGGCGGAGGAAGTAAAGCCTAGTGAAGCTCCACGGCGGCGCTTGTCCTGTATGCCTTGCTTCGACGCCCTTTGGTTTTGCTATTGTATTTTCTCTCTCCTCTCTTCTTCTTTGAAATTGTTTTGATTTTGCTATTTGAAAGAAAAAATTGTGACAGAATTAAAATTATAAGTATGGTAGGAATAGTTGGATTGTTATTTGTTAATGTAATGTGTGCAAACAATTAATCTTCCTCTATTCATTTGTTTTTCAATGAACTTTGATCTTACTTTTGTTGATCCCTTGATGATGAATGTTGAAGTTGTTTGAACTTTGATCTTACTCTTGTTGGAGTTTCATTGTGAATTTAGTTCTTCTTTTGTTGTTAATTAGAGTTGTGATTGAATTTTCAATGGTGGATAATGGACATTTGTTAAAGCTGGATTTTATTGCTTTCCTAAGTATTGGGCGTAAAAAATTGGTGTAAATTACAAATTATTGATTATATGTGCAAATTGATTAATTTCTTGAACACTCTCGCGGTAATTCATATTTTCATTTTTTTTTTCTTTCTAACTTAGGAGGTTACATGTTACTGGTAAATATTTCAGTCATTTCGGGAATTTTGGGTATAGCCAATTGGAATCTTTGTGGAATATATCGCCGTATCTGCACCAGTAATTCTTGTATCATTTTACAATGTGGGAAAGCTAGTGATTCTAAGGGGAAAAGTGTTAATTGCTTGGTGTGAAATTTATTGGCGTAGTCCTTAGTCACAATACTTTGTATTAATCGCAACACTTTTTTTGAAATACTACCATGCTGCCAGTGCAATTTGATAAAGGAAATTAGTCTGGTTCATACTTCTGTGATAACTTCTCTGTTTTCTTGCTTATGAAGTGATGATTGCTGATATTTGCTGGATCTTGCTTTTAACCTTGTATTATTAATCTATTATAATATTCAAAAATTGTTTCAGGCTTTCAGCCATAATGTAGGATTGTGTTCTTGTCATTTCAGATTATCCTCTTTTCTCATTGATCTAATTTCTGCTAATGACTGCTTTTGTTTTCACAGCACCAGTTCATCAGGTGCAGCAATATTATCGGCTTGGAGTTCTTGACAATTGTTCAGGGAAGTGGAGTAAGCTTGTTGACTGCTTGAGTTTGAAAACTAAGAGTTCAGCTGAATTGCAGGTTTGTCCAAAATCCTTTTGCAGATAAATTGATCAAGGCTTTTTCACTTCTGCTATTTAAATCGGAAACCTAGGGCGGACCCACCTTTAGTCATAGTGGATCCTGGGACACACTATTATTTTCTAAAAAAAAAAAAATAATAATACAGTAAAAAAATAAATGTGAAAAAAGTAACTACGGTCCTTTGAGGCTCTCTGACAATTGATCATACTACAAAGTACAAACTACATGTTCACATACCACATTACTATTCCCACTCTCCCAGCTTTCGCGTGAAACCCAACCAAAAAAATAAAAATAAATTTATTGAAAGAAAACAAAAGTTGTCAATCATTTTCTCTCTCCTAAAAAAGTAATTTGATAGAATAGCAGTAATTTGGGTATTTTTGTGATTGTTCTTGACTTTATGCTATGCTAATTGTTTTAAAGCTATATGTTGTTAATTTGTTGTTCTTATTTAGTTTAAAAATGATTATTTAAAGGTTTTGCTTTGGATTGATTATTTGTTATAGGATTTTACATTTATTATTTACAATATTAATTGTATAGTTGTTATTACAAAACGGGAAATTAAAGTTGCATTTTCCATTTGTTTGTCAATTTTGATTTGTGAAATTGTGATATTGTAAATTGTTATCAAAACGTACATGAAAACCCGTTCACATCAATTGTAATAAATTTAAGTATTTTTGTTGTAATATGAATTTGTATTACTTTATGAAACGAAGCTTCTTATTTATGAAATATCTCTAATTCTCTAATTTTTTTTTGTTCATTAATAGAGCTTTGTATTGTATGATATTTTTCCGTTTTTTAGTTGACACCATTTGACTTTTACACTATTCACAAAATACACTTTGGCTAGTTATTTTGAACTATGTCTCAATGCATATTTTATCACCCACTTTTTAGAATTTTACAATGTCGAGAATTAGAGATATTAATCGTTAAAACGGTGTCTTGAAAAACGTGATAAAGAAATGTGTCAACTAAAATATAGAGGTAGTATATTATATGCGATAGATAGTCGATGGGATAACCTAATAATCCAATCCTGGATCCGCCGTCCATCAATTAGTGTTCCTGTCATATTTGACCTGGATAGTCATAAGTTTTACTCATAATAAGAATGAAGATATTGGAAATGAGTAATATATAGAACTTGCAGAACTAGTATTGATAGAATGCACCACCTAGGGTTTCGAATTTGTCATAAAAACATGGGTACTTCTTTGTTCTAGTCTAGATGACAAAAGTCTTTTTTTCACCTTCTTAGTTCCATGCAAGTGTAAGTCAGTAAACATGTGTTAGTACTCTATCCCGAATGACATTGAATTCTCTTGCCAATATGTTGGATCAACTGTGTTTATAAGATGACTACCTTCTTCATTAGAAGCTTTACATAAGGTACTGATGCTATTATCCTTTTATGTGGAACAACTGGTACTCGCGGAATAGATCATGTTTAATTTAGAAGCATTGAAGGGTTATGAATGCAATCTAACGTAATCTGTTGAAGTGATGAACAACATACCAGTTTTATGGCGCCTTTATCCTGATTAGTGTTATGGTAGCGACTAGCGAGGCTGTTTTCAATGGATACACATAAAACAAACTGCATAACAGGAAGAAAAAAAAAAGAGTATAAAAGAAAAGTGGAACAAGGTTTTGTAGAATTTTTAAAGGGAGTTAGTGGTTTTGAGCATTAGGATCTAAACAGGTCTCACCATGTTTAGAGATCATATTAAGGTGACTTAGAGGTTAGAGCATTAGGATCTAAACAGGTCTCATCATGTTTTGAGATTATATTAAAGTGACTTAGAGGTTAGAGCATCAGGATCTAAATGGGTCTCAAATCTCATGTTTTGAGATCATTAAGTTGCCTGTTGGCCTCTACTTATATGGATTTAGAGCTGCGGGTGCAAAGATCTAGATTATGCTCTTGTCACTGGAACATCCTTTTTTCTGAACTTACTGGCTGTTATTTGAACTTATTTCTAGCTGTGAGACATTGGTATCCCTTATCTGTACTTGATTTTTCCAAAACTTATTTTCTCTAGGTGAAAAAAACAAGGTCCTAGTTTTTTTTTTTTTTTTTTTTTTTTGTTTAGACCAAAAGTTGGATCTTGGATGTCTACTGTGCAGTTTGTGTCTTAAAGCAATAAAATGTTCTGATTACCGGCCCCACCCCCCCCCCCCTCCCCCCCCCCCCCCCCCCCCCCAAAAAAAAAAAAAAATTCCCCCTTCCTCTTGCCTTGTGTAATCTATTTATGCTGGTCTGATTATTTAGACTCTGGGATCTTCATTTAAAGTAGTTTCCTACTCTGACTGAGAACTGAGAAATTTATTGTTGAATGCAGGATATTTTGGAAACACGTGAGAAAGAAAAGTTGCACATTTGGTCTTTTAGGACACCGGAAGAATCAGCTGCTAAATGGCAACAGTGGTATGGACATTTAGATGAACCAGAGTAACTACATCCTACGAGTTGCTCTTTTTCAGACTTCATTTCAGTGATTTAACCAGAGTGCCTTATCAAAGCGGTGACTGTCCTTTACAAGCTCATATTTCAATTCCTTTACCAAAAATTACAGCTTTTCCAGTATATGAATTAGGACTAAATCTTTTATTAATAAAGCTATTGACTCATATGATATTATATTTTGGAACCAACCAATGCTACTTGGACATATTCAAATCATAGCTTATTGAATTCATGAGCAAAATTTTGTCAAGGGTTGCTGATAATTTGATTGGCCGAGGTTGTAATTTTAACATTTTTGAATTTCTATTTTTATCGACATCGTAGTTGTGCACTTGTTCAGGGTTAGTCGAAGCTGTGAACAGGCTGGAAAATTTAATGAAAGTGATTACAAATTGTTGAATTTTATTTTTTAATTATTAATGCAATCTCTTCAATTGATTATCATATAATTTTTGAAAGAATATTTTTAATCTTATGTAAGCAGTGGCGGACCTGGCCTTGTGCCTGGTGGGTCAAGTAGGGCCCAAAAAAAATCTAAGTTTTTTTTTAAAAAAAAAAATTTACGGTTTCTGGGAAATGGGGTTTGATGGAGTAGATAAAGCTCAGAAGTTGCTTTAATGGAGGAGAGAGAAAATGTCGGGAAAGGGAAATAGAGTAGGAAATCGGGTCTTCAATTGATCTCTCGTAATTTTTCTGCGACCTCTGTCTCTTGTTGTACCTCACTCTCGTCTTCAATGGGGTCTGCATGAGGAAATCGACACACATGAATGAATTTAATTCAATACATAAGGAAGGAAGTCTTTTCTTACTATTAGTTCTTACAGAGGGTACTAAACTGCGCTGCAGAGGAGAGGGAATGAAAGAGAAAGAAGAGAGGAGAGAGAAGAAGAAAGAGTGGCGTGGATTGAGATTTGAGAATAGGAAAGGGGGGGTGTCTTCTGTACGTGGCTTTTGGACTTTTTAGATTTAGGTTTTTTTTTTTTTTTTTCCCTTGTCAACCAAACGAGTTATTACTTCATACTGCTGTTTTGTGTCCTCTTGTTGCCTTCGGTTCTAGTCCTGCTTGCTTAATGCTTATCAACAACACTTTTGTTTTGTGTCCTCTTGTTGAAGATCATATGCATTTTGCCCTATTTCTTACATTGTTGTTGTTTTTGCAAGTGTTTCGACCTAAGTTTCGTATATTTAGTTGGTTGCATATACTTAATATTTAGTTCTTTAATGTTATATAGCTTCTGAGAAAGAGGGTACAAGAACAGAGGATATATGGTTTCTGGGTTTTTGGATGTATTTTTTAGTACTATTATTTGGTTGTTTGGTAAATTTTTTTTTTACATATTTGGTTATCGATTGTGACTCACCAGTCGGAAATTCCTGGGTCCGCCACTGTATGTAAGTACCTAAGATATACCACTGTACAGTACCTTATCATTTTTCTGGTTTTAATTTAATAATGAATAAGTACTCGAGGACTAAGATCATGGAATTGGCATATTGAAGAAAGGATTATGTTTTTTTAGCCTAATAACTTGATATTGATTTCCATGTACACTGTTTGCGACTAAAGGCAGCCTCAATGAATCAGAAGGATGATCGAAGGAATGAACAGCATTAGAATTAAGAACTATCTGCCTGGTTGCTGCAAAGACTCCAATTACCATAATCAATGAGAAGACAGATCCAATGACCAAAAACATGCAACATCGCTTGGATGGTTCAAAGGTTAAGTTGAAGAAAATGACAGGCAGGATAAAGTCGAGGGGCACCAAGCCAGATGCTCCATCAGTGCATTGACATGGCCAAAAAATGGAAGCAACCTGGCTATGGTAGTGGCTGCAATCACAGAAATGGACCTTGAGATTATTCTTAATGTCACATTGCGGTGAAAACAGGTTTACACTGGATAAACAAACATCCGCTCCAGAGTATAGCTGGTGCAAGTATACACCTGTTGAAGCAGAAAAGTAATTAAATTAAGATGGATAATTTGGATTTGAAATCACTTCTATGAAAAAAGGCTTTTTTCTTCACCTAAAAAACCAACTATTTGTTTTATCTGTTCATCTTAAATGATCAAAACTTATTTTTCTTGAAGTTACCTCGTTCTAAGTTGAAACGAGCAAAGGCTAAATATTCAGAAACAACCAGAAACAACGGATACCTGAGGATAATGAAGCTGATTGTGGTGATAAGAAACCAAAACCATTTATGCACCAAAACATTGCCATTTTTATCGTCGAAGTTATCAAGTAAGAAACTGTTAGTGCCACATTGCCAAAGGCCCAATACCCTGAGGCTGCCACACTGGAGAAAGTTAACAGCAAAACTGTATAACTAAGACCTAGCCCCTTGAACATTTTCTCCTACTGGTGCTACTATAGTTGCCTATTAGGAGTAAAGTCTTTGGTTTAGATATAAACATACTTACAGATATCAAAGTCAATGTGTCTTTGTTTTCTTAAATAGAAGAAACAAACTTGAATAGTTGAATTTTGGGGATGATTTTATTCCCAAATCAAGTAGAGGCCAATAGGCAAACACTAACACCTGGTTAAGTTTGCACCATTATCGTTGATTCCTAAATGGTTCGAGACCAATGTGAGTCAACAATCTCATGGATCAGTGAAGGGGATTTGTGGTTGCCTTCAGAATTGTCCTCTTCGTGAAATCCAACATTTTCGAAGTTTGTCCTTTAACTTGTTAGTGGCTCTCTAGTCTCTACATTGTCCCATTTGATTTAAGTGCAAACCGATCTCATTCGCTATACATGGTCATAGGGAGTTCAAAGGCACAATAGTTATGCACAAATAAATACATATCAGTGACAATTTTGTAAATAATAACAAATTAAAAGTACTATTTAGAGGTAAAAAAGTACAACTAAACAAAATTAAATCCTTTTTCCAATATTAAATCCTTGTAATGACAAAATTCAATGGAAAGGATGAGTAAAATTCAAGATAACTATTCAAGATTGATTGGTCATAAATATTAGCCATGAAAAAGGTAAATGAGATTGAAAAAATATATATTTTTGTTGAACCCCATATAGTGTGCACTAGTGAGTTGTCCCACATTAGAGAAAGAGGAGAACATCAACCACTTTATAAGCTTAGGAGTTACTCCTCCTATCACCAATTGGTTTTAGGATGGAACCTCTTTGGGCTTGTAAGTGGACCAAAAACTCTCCTCCTCCTAATTGGGTTGCCCGGGCCCATGCAAAAATTTAATAATTTTGATGACCCAATAATTTTGTATTTACTCTCACAAAAACCCACTCACAATTTTTGGTGACCATCTTAAAAACATCCACAAATTTATACAGTTGACATATGTGGCGCCAACAGCCGCAAACAACGGCAACTTCCTTTCAAGGTTTTGTTAACCTCAATTCTTCAAATGTAAAAATTTCATCTCTTTTTCACTTTTCCTTCTTTATTGGATATTGTCTTTTCAATTACTTTAGAAGACATTTTTGTTTTCTTGACTCCATTTTTTGTAGGTAGTATGCTGTATGCGTCAGTGCGTGCGTTAGTTTCCTTTTTTAGTTATTTTATATAGTTGTATTAAATAAAAAAGATTTATGTTAGTTCATGAAGTGCAAGTGTTAACCTTTGACTTGTGTTTTGGATAATTATGTGTTATTTAGCAGTTTATTATAAATCATATCAAAGAAATTAGAGGAACCAAGTTGGCAGATTAAACTTAACTTAAGCACTTTTTCAGATCTAAATCAATTGTTTATTTATATAAACTGCAATAATAAAAAAATAAATATGATTGATTGTCAGAAATGAGCCGGCACATTTGGTAATAGTAATGAACTAGTGTGTAATTGTTTATTTATATAAACTTAACAAGTACGTGTTTTATTTTATTAAGTCGATCTGCAAAATTTACTTGTACATATAAGTTCATTATACCACCATTTAGCGCGGCTTTCCAAAAGGGTCGAGTGTTGGTCTAATGCTAAATGAGGTAAACTACTGCTTTTGATTTCTGAAAGTGAAGGTCAGAAGACCCTTTTAAATTGACAGATAGATCATTTGGCTTTTGAGTTAGCCTCTCTTTTCTTCCCTCCATCTTTTGAAGTTTGCTAGTGAAATCTGTTGTATGCAGAGGATGGACTCGGGACCTGAAGCGAGGCTTCTTGTATGTGAAGATGAAAAGGTTGATCACTTTAAGCAAAGAGTTTGGGAAGAATCGAAACGAGTATGGGCAATTGCATTCCCTGCAATGGTGTGTCGTGTAACAACGTATGGAGCTTATGTGGTTTCACAAGCTTCATTTGGGCATATTAGAGAAGTGGATCTTGCTGCTTATGCTCTTGTACAAACTATACTAGTGCGCTTTGCCAATGGTATCTTGGTAATTAATCTCATGTATCCCTTTGCTTCTTATTATCATCCTGCATCAATATTAGTTTGCATATTGTACTAGTATTGTTCTTGTATGCAATGTGATAGGAACTATGTTTATATATGTGTTTTATGATGCTTATTGTTAAAAGAAAATTCCTCTATAATCATGTTGCTCAGGACTTTGGGTTAATGTTGGCTCCTGAGTTTCAAACATTCTTTTCTCTTAAATTTTCGTTATCTGAACTTATTACTTTGGAATTGCATAAACTTAGTTGTGCAATGAACTTGATGGATTTCCTTATCTCAACTGTTCGGTCTTTGTCTGAACTTTTTAGAATTTCTGTTTTTCAAGTTTTTTTTTGGGGTGAAAGAAACGGCCTCAGTGTCAACTTTGTTATTGCTTACTTCGAAATCAATCGGAAGGCTGAACGCTGAAGAAATAATATGTAGTATGAGCTAGTCATAGATTTAACTTCTTACTTAATAAGATCACTATTCTAGGTGCAATGCATTACAGCCCTTGCGAGCATTAAAATTTTTTTCATTTTGGTTTTTCTTCAGCTAGGAATGGCAAGTGTTACAGAGACTCTTTGTGGAGAATCCTTTGGAGCCAAACAATATGACATGATGGGAGTGCACTTACAAAGATCATGGATTGTTAATACTGCTGTAGCAACAATGATGGTGCCATTCTACATTTTCGCTACACCTCTCCTTAGACTTCTCGGACAAGAAGAGGATATTGCTGTGGCTGCTGGAAGTATATCTCTGTGGTTCATTCCCATTATGTATCTCAATGTTTTTGGCATGACAATGCAGATGTATTTGCAAGCACAAAATAAGAATATGGTGGTTACATGGCTGTTTGGGATTTTGTTTTTCGTCCATGCCCTGCTGTCATGGATTTTTGTGTACATAATGGATTGGGGGCTTCCTGGGGTAATGATTGCCCTGATCATTGCATTTGCGGTGAAGGTGCTTGGTGAGGTTGTTTACATATTTGGAGGTTGGTGTCCACTTACATGGAGAGGATTCGATAGAGCTGCATTCACTGGTCTAATGCCTGTCCTGAAGTCCTCAACTTCTTCAGGTGTAATGCTTTGGTAAAATTTCTCTCCCTACACTAAATATTTCTCACTCACACAAATTGTAGTGGAATATTTGTATAATCAATTAACAATGAAACTCCAGATTTTAACCCAGAATAAGGATGTTATGACTATAATCAAATTTCAAGCTTTCGTGATCATCTTACCTTAATATTGGTATTGGTGCTTGATCATAAACAGTTAAAATGTGCCTCCTCTTTCAACAATCCTACGTCATCCAACTTAATGAAAGAAAATTATAATGGTGTTTGATCATAAATCGTTCAAATAGCCATCATAGTGGTTTGCTAGCATTTTATTCATATGAACTTTCAAGTTCTTTCATATTTGACTGATTTGAGATTAGTTGTTGTCTAAAAATGTGTAATGGTATTCAACATATCATAAACTTTGCATTTAGTGATGTACCAACTGTAAGACTACTTCAGCTTTGATGTGCACAGAGAAAATTTTGAAGACATATTGACTTAAACCATTTTTTTCTAAACCTGAATGAAAATAAACAATCTTGCAGTTTTCATATACCTCTTCCTCTACTTGGCCCCCTAATCTATTCTGTATTGGGATTTTCATCGAAGAACTGTTATTTACATTGTGCTAATTGGATCTTTTTCCTATATCTTCCATAGCACCCAGGTGTGGTACAATGCTATTTTAGTTCTATTAGCAGGATACATGAAATATGCAACAGTTGCCATTTCTGCCTTCTCAATTTGGTAAGGATTTTGATCAGAATTATCGCTTTCCTTTCGATTTTCCTTTCCTCACTCTGCAGAATTCAATCTTACTGAATAAATCTTTTACAGCTTAAATGTGAGTACATGGGAACTCATGATATGCCTTGGCTTTCTGGGTGCTGTTTGGTAAGTCTCTTACTAACTTATACTTGGCTTATGTTATACGATGAACATTACTCAGTGTAAATAATTCTCTGTGTAGTGTTCGGGTTTCAAATGAACTAGGAAGAGGAAATGGCAAGGCAGCGAAATTTTCAGTTGACGTGATCTTGTACACCTCAGTTATTATTGGCATATTCTTTTGGATTTTATGTTTGGCATTTGGCCATCAAATTTCATACTTGTTTACAAGCAGTGAAGAAGTTGCAAAAGCTGTGTCTGACCTTTCTGTCCCACTTGCATTTTCGATTCTACTAAACAATGTTGGACCAGTATTATCAGGTAAGTAATACTGTCATAAGTCATAACCGCTGCTTAACAACAATCTAGATTTTTCCATTCTTGCCTCGTGTTTTTGTGATGAATTTCTTCATTCCTACCAGTTTGGCCTTTTATGATGCTTAGGCATAAAACTCGAGTGTCTTAATTTAGTATTTCAAGAATCCAACGTAAATGTTCTTAACTTTTAGCCATCAGGACATGTTATGAGTGCCCGAAGCTTCAACATGGATACCAAAACATGTACTCTCCTTGTTATATATGTGATAGGAAGTTATAAATTTCTGTCTTTTGGCCCAAAATTGAAGTTTTCATGCCCAGTGGACTGTCAAGCATCCTACATGAACACGTGAGCTGTAATGAAGAGTCCGAACATCATAACAAGCTCATGTTGCCTAACCCTTACTTTGTTAGGATGTCATGTTTCAAACTCAAGTGAAACGACATAGTTAAAGTAGAAAGTTTTGGAACATTATTCATTGCCTGTTCATTTTATTTGTTAAAAGCTATGGTTGCAACAGAATGACCTTTGATAATTTAGTCAATATATAGTTATCCTACTTGTTTATATTATATCTCAAAGATTTCTTTCCACACAGGGGTTGCAATTGGCTGTGGATCACAAGGAGTGGTTGCAATTGTTAATGTCTGTTCATATTATGTCATCGGGATCCCGATTGGAGTTCTACTGGCATATGCTGCTCATATGGAG